TCTTTACAGACTTGTTTAATCATTTTACTTCCTAAGTGATGGGAGACCTTCCTTTTTTCAGACATAGCCTAAAACAATTAATAGAATGTCACAGTGTCATTTGTATGCATGTTTACAATAGTTATCACGTTATTGTGCATTCATGTTCAAAAAACAGTTAACAGTACCTTTTAGCACTCATTTTTATTTTGTATTTATTCTCTGTTTTTAATCATTTTAGAAAGATACCTCAGTTCATAGTGTGCATTAGGATGTGGAGTGGAGGGAGATAGGGAAAAGGATATTAATTTAATTATTTGCTGTTAGAATTGATGGAAATATTGCCTAAATGTAAAAACAATTAGCTACGTTATTGTTTTAAAATACAGCTGCTGATCTTCAGCAGTGTTTTATTGTAATTTCCATTTAAACTGAAGCTTTATTTCAGAGTTATATTTATTTTTCTAATACAGGAAATAGTGACTCTGAGTATTATCATTCTGTTTCCTTCCTAAGGTACTTGTGAACTTAATTTCTATATACTGTTTCAGTGCTTTGATCACAGGCTTTTAAAAATGGATTTCCTGAAACATTCTTTAACAATGAAGGAAGCATCGTGATACAGTTTCTTAAGGAAGGATGGCAATTTCTCCATAAAAAAAGAAGTAAAACTTTTCATTGGTGGAGATGCAAAGGATTTTACTTCTGATAACTTTCTAAGTTACATAATAAGACAGTTTACGTGGCCCTGTTTGTTATTCTAAAGCATAACATCCTTCTTGGGGTAGGCTCTGTGCTACTGTGCTTGGTCACAGAGCACCACACGCTGTTGCAGCATCACCTCCTGAGTGCAATGAATTGTATGGTCAACGTGAAGATGTTTAAGATGCTTCACTGCAAGTAGCAGCCCTGTCTTTCTTTGCATTGCAGTTCTGTGCATATTGCTTTGTTTCTGAACTTTAATTCAGGTCTTCTCAGGATCAAGTGAATAACTCCCACCAATTTTAATAGAAGAAGAGGTGCAATCTAGTCGGCACCTGGTACAAATACAGTTAATGGGTAACATGCACCTTCATCTAGATGAGGTGGCTTGTGTCTGTTTTTCAGAATCCAAGAAGTGTAAGTGGCTTTGGCATTGCACTGTGATAGTGCTGGAAAAATACGATAGCCATAAAGTAAGGTACCTTTCTTTAAGGCCTCTAATTATTGGTAAGGCCTTTGTGATCCCTCATTTTTCAAAACATGATGTCTGCAGTGCTCTAGATGCTTGTAAAAAATTAATCTGTGGTACTAGGTAGGCATTAATTCACTAAGAGGGAAAAAAACCACACAACTGCAGTATCTGACAAATCCTGTAGTTTGGTTTCTAAAACAGAGAAGTACATATCCTTGTATGCACAAGTACTAACAGAAACAGACACTGGAATGCCCCTTCTAGTGACTAACAGATTCTGGTTAACAAGGTGGTGCAAACAAGACCTACAACTTATGGGAATATTTTTCTCATAGCAAATGGTGGATTGGGGACAGTAGCCTTTATTCCTTACATGAGATGGACTTAGTGAACATGTTAAATACTATCTTCGTTTAAGTTTTCATACAGCAACACTAATTAATGAACAATATTGACTGTGAGGGGAACCAGTTCTCTAATCTCAGTGAGAATACAGTGCTTCGTATCTTGGCTTGTTTATATGCCCAAAATTGCATATAAAAGTGCTGGCCATGAAACTGCTGTTGTCTTATAGCATGGTCTTCCACGTTGTAAGGGGGTTGACAGGCTATGGTAATATCACACTTGGCCTCTTACCTAATGATTTGAGATTTTAACTCTTGCTTTCAGGTTCAGAATATGAGGAGTACCTTTGTATTACGCTGCTATTGCTAAGGTCCTAAGAATAGTTGGGTCAGGAAGAAAAAAGAGTAAAGAAATAAAGAAGCAGTATGAGGAGCAAATAGGTTTAAGAAGTGAATCTATTTGTATCAGATGTACTTTTATACTAAATTATGTAGTCTTTATAGTCTTGCTTGGCTTTATGTGATACACCTTTGCTTCCCTGAATCTTTTCTTCTCTCTCTTCACTTATGTAATCAATATAATGTAGAGTTTGCAAGATCCTGTGAATAAACTAAGAGAAACAGCAGAAAAGGAGGACCCGCAGACTGAGAGCACCAAATCAGAAGATCAGCAGAGTCAGTAAGTCATATGCACTGTATCTCAAAATAATAAGTATCTCTACATGTATAATCTGATTTCTAGTTACAGAGGTCACCAAACATTTAAAACTGAAGAGAGACACAGGTAATTTGATCACGTTAGCAAAAAGTAAGCTTAATGCAAGCATTACTGAAATGTTTTGTGTGTATGAAAATTAATAAACTTTAAGATGAAATTAAGAGCTTGGAAAAGATCCATTAAACCTGATATGTTTCTCATCTTTCTTAGCCATGTCTTTATTTTTCAGCTTTTGCTTCATCTTTTCCTTTAGTAAAGCAGCATCATATGGGAGAATATATGTGAGCATTCTATTTCTCCCTTCAGCAGCATCTCCTTTCACCTGGGAATAGGATATGGATTCCTGATTGCTTTGAGCAGCAATTAGTTTTTGTAATGTATACAGCACTGGTTAGTAATCCAATGAAAAAGGAGGTACTTAGTAAAAAGTGCATTTAAGTGTGCTGATGCTATCAAGGTTTGGGTTACCTGTAGCTCTGAGGTGAGAGAGACTTATGAATGGGCTGCTATAGAAACAGAAGAACAGGAGAATGAGATGTGATCCCTCCCCTATGGGACCATCAGGATTCAGTTGCGAGGAGATGCTATGTTGATATAATCCTGCTGCCACCTGTTGTTTTGACTATCTGTGCTTAAGTGAAGCACCCAGCTAAGGATAAGTTGTCAAAAAGCGGAGAATGGCTTGACTGACAATTAGTGGATTTTGCTTGGCTATTTATAATAAAAGTTATTTTACTTGTTTAGGTTTACATCCACTGACCAAAACAGAACAGTCTATGCTTTCATTACATATATTTAGTTAGGTGAAGAATGAGAAGCTGGTAGGTTTTGACAGTTGGTCTTCAGTCTTATTTTGATTTTCACTAGACTTCTTCCGATACAACAATAAAATTCAACAACAAACCAGCAAATATAGCAAAAGCAGGAGTCCATATGAATTACTGTTTCCTCCTTATTATTATGATTCTGTAATGGTGTGACCAAAAAGAGAATAATACATTTGCTGTTCCTAGAATTGTTTTCTTAATGTTTCTTACTCTTTCAAATTAAGGTTGATTTCATTAGATGAGGAGAGTCATACCAAGGAACCAGACTATTCAGGTATTTTATTTCATGTATTTACAACTCATAAATGCAATATATGTTGTTTTCTTTTTTGTTTGTTTAATGTATGTTTAGCTTCAATAAGTAAATCCCTACAAATGCATAAAAATGCCAGGAAGATCTGTTAAAGATAATGTCTTATGTGTTGTATCCCAATGCATTTCACTCAGTTACTCTCAGGCAAATAGTTTGCTTTCCAAAGCATAATTCTTACACTGAGCACATCTTCAAGGAAAGAATTTTCTGATCAGTAGATGTGAAGACAGGGAAACTGTGCTACTTAGCATACTAGTTTATTCCAGTGATTAAACATCCCCTCTGCTAATAACTCATTGAATTCAGTGGAACTTACGGCTAACAGGTGGGCAGTGTGGTTATTATCCAGTGACACAGCCAGGCTCTAGTTGAAGATTCACAATGAAAGAATGGTAGATGATGGAGACGAATGACAGGAGGGGAAAATGTAACTACATTTAGGTATTAGAAAGAGTGTTCTCTGCAAGGGTGGCAAAGAGTTGGAATAAGTCCTTACAGAAACTGTCGTCCTTGGAGATGTTTAAGGCACATCCCTGGAAAGCCTGATCCAACTTCATAGCGAGCTCTACACTAATGAGTGGCTCACAAAATGGCACCCGGATGTCCATCCAAGTTATGCTATGACTTTAAAGTATATCTTTATGTACTAAATTAATAGAGAATCTTGCAGTTCAGATCCTCCTCATGATAGGCTAACCATATTGATATCTGTAATACATCTTCTCTAGTCCATTAGTTTTGAAGTTTTTGTTTCCATTCCTTGTCCAGCATCACTTTTAATATTTGAACAGTATTACTGTACAAGACATTTCTGATATTAGTTTCACCAGTAATGTTTCTAAAGTCACATTCCTGTTTCTACTCATTGCCTTCTTTATTTTTCTATTTCCAGGACTATCTCATTTTTTCAGTTATGTCAAGTTAGAAGCTCGCATGTGGTTTTTTTGTGTTTTTTTTTTTTAAATTTATGAAAGCATGGTTCACTTTAGTCACAGATTTCCAGGACTCATTCTTCCATTCTGAAGCATGGTTTATATTCTTTATTCCTAAAGATATATCTTAAGAATTAGTGGTATTAAGTTCTCCAGCTTTACTGTAGTAACTAAGTGACTGGCCTGAATGACCACCTCTAACAGTCTGGAAGTTGTTTGCACATTTTTTTTTTTAGGAGGGATTCTGTGTTTACTTCCAGATGGCTGCTAAAGCCATTGAAAAGCAATGAATATAACACTAAACCTTGCAGATCTAAACTGGAAACACTTCTACTTTGCAATTATTTTTGCCAACAACTTCTTTTGACATCTGTTAGTTGTCTTGTTCCTAATCCATTCAATATGTTTCTTATAGATATTACGCAGTGCTAGCTTTCTAGCTGGAAGGCTGCATAGTGGAAAGTCAACTTGTTTCTAAACAAATTTCTTTGCTAAAAAAGCTCATAGTTTTATCAAAGAATTGAATAGTTGGTTGTGGTGGTGTTGTTGTTGTTTCTGTTTTGGTTTGATCTCCATTTATTAACTTTTAAACTAAGCCTATTTTCCATAAAAATACATTTTATTACAGGAGCACTTGTACTTCTGTTCTTTTACCAGCCCATAGTTACCTACAATTATTTGAATCACTGTTTTTTTTTTTGTGTGTGTGTGTGTGTGTGTGTGTGTTTTCTTTAATTGTGGCACTGCATCAGGACATTTTTTTGGCAATTAGAAGTTTCAACCACTTTGCTGTTAAGCAATTGGATACTTACTTTACCAGATATTTTAATATTTTTTTAATATAAAAACCTGACTTCTAAAGTATTTTCTTAGCAGACGTTGTCTAGAATCATTCTCACTTACTGAAATATTTGTCAGCTCATAAGTATTATCCATAATATAAATACCTTGTTGTGTCTCTTTCTCCTTCATCTCTAGAAGGAACTTAATTATTTTGGAATACTTTTGCTAAATTTTCCCCTCTTCATATACTGACAAGTCTCTGACATTGCTAAGATTGGTTTTTTTGTTCTGCTTTTTCTTCTTTTTTAAATACATCTTTATATCCTAAAATAATCAACATGGTGCCACTAGTGATGGGACTGTTTATTCACAGCTCTTCTCATCAACTGCTTCCAGTTCTTAACATCCAGTTTATATAATAAACTGATGCATAGTCAAGAAAAGCAGTTTAAGGATTGATGAGATCCTGAGCACTTTTGTTCTCTCTTCTGCCCTGTGGAAGTACAAACATATTAAAAAAAATAAAAAATAAAAAAATCTGCTTCTGGAGGAACGTTCAGTTCAGGAGTTGCCTCATTTGGGTGCACCTAGCCTGGAGATGGTCTTGTGGGGCAGGTGGTGTTGCAGAGGAAGATTTTGTCTTGTTATTATTCAGAAATGTTACTTACAAGTATTTTTAAATATCTTGGGTCTTTCACCCATGGTGACCAGGTTCATTTTAAGCATGAGTAGCAAATGTTCATAAACAATGTCACAATGTTCAACATGCAACGTTCTCATTCTTTCAATACTATCAAGTGCCAAGTGTGATTTGATGTGTTCATGGCTCTTGATTACAGCTCATGATGGCAAGGATTCCCTATCCAAGTTACAAGGAAATTGTAACCACAAACAGAAGTCAGGTGAAGTGTCTAAAGAAACTACATCTAGATGTATGCAAGGTGTTTGTCAGTACTGCAAATCTCCTGTTGCTTTTAATTTTTTCTTCTTTTTTATTCTTAGGTGCTGTAGATGACTTATTAGACCTGCATCCTGAAGAAAATGGTATGAAACATTTGTGCATATCTGTTTCATTTACTTTTCAATCATAGGTACCAAGTGCCAATTTTAATCTTGGTTCTTTATTGCTTTCATAATCTGAAAGGTTAATATGTTTCTCAATGAAATTATTCAGTTGCAGTATTTAAACAGCATTAAAGGAAGTTCAACTTGATAAACAGTTGAAACACTGTGCCTGATATAAGAATATAAAACAAACCTTACTGAGGATAAAAACATTCCAGCAGGTAATTCAAGGTTATACTGAATTGGTTATATTAATTGGTTTGCTCCATTGAAGTAGGTTGCACAATAAACCTTACCTCTGCTATAACTTTTTGCAGTCTCTGCATTAAAAAAGGTGGCCAGGAGGGAGAGGGAGGTGATCGTCTCCCTGTACTCGGCTCTTGTGAGGTCCCTTGGGAATACTGCATCCAGGCCTGGGGCCCCCAGCACAAAAAAGATTCAGAGCTCTTGGAACATGTCCAGAGGAGGGCCACTAAGATTATCAGAGGGCTGGAGCACCTCTCCTGTGAAGAAAGGTTGAGGGAACCGGGCTTGTTTAGCTTGGAGAAGAGTAAGCTCCAGGGGACCTCGCTGTGGCCTTTCAGTACTTAAAGGGAGCTTATAAACAGGAGGGGGAATGACTGTTTACATGGGTGGGTAGTGATAGGACCAGAGGGAATGGTTTTAAACAGAGGCAGGGGAGGTTTGGGTTAGATATTAGGAGGAAGTTTTTCACATAGAGGGAGGTGACACAGTGGAACAGGTTGCCCAAGGAGGTTGTGGATGCCCCATCCCTGGAGGCATTCAAGGCCAGGCTGGATGTGGCTCTGGGCAGCCTGGTCTGGTGATTGGCAACCCTGCACATAGCAGGGGATTGAAACTCGATGATCTTTGAGGTACTTTTCAACCCAGGCCATTCTATGATTCTGTGATTCTGTGAACTCTTCACTTAGCAATACAATAGTAACCACTAGTTTTATACCAACAGTGAAAATATTAGAAAACATTTAAGAACTGGTAACTTCTTTCAGCCATATAGTTAATTAAACCTGCTGTGTTATTCTCAAATAGATGTGAGAGCAATGGCATTAATTCCAGGTTCTATTCCTATCCTTTCACTTTTGTTAGATTAGCAGCAGCTCAAGGAGATATGCTGTTCTTTTCCAAAGGGTGCTGTTTTACTTGCCAGATGGTTTATATTGAATTCTCTTGTGCAATAAGAATTCTGCATGCAGTTTTTCATTTGCTCTTCACTTGTTCATCTGAAAAGAATGAGTAAAAAAAACGTTAACAACAAGATCAAAATAATCTGGCAGCTCAGAAAGCAAACAAAGAACCAAAGAAGTCCCTTTGTGTGGTTTAGTCAGCCACACAAGTCAGAGAGTTTTATTTGGGCTACTTAAGGTGCAGCCTTCCGATGGGTAAGCAACAGCAGATCTGCAAACACTGTGACTTTGGTTTGCCACGGGCAGTCTCTTATACTGCAGGGGAAATTGCATCTTAACCCAGGCAGAAACATTGAAAGTTTCCTTGGCTACCTCTGCACATAGCAATCCTAATCTGTGAACTGATAGTGACAACTTCTTTTCTGTGGTTAACAAATAAGAAGTTAGCATGTGGCCTTTTTTTTCCCTTCTGGTTTTCTGCTGAACCATATGTTCTTCAACCTTCAGACATAGATGATGCATACAGTTATTGTTCATACAAGTTTAGTCATGTCAGTTAAAAGCCTGTTGTTTTTTTTTTTCTTTAGTGAAATAGTTAAGTCAATATGAAAAAAGTTGTGGATTAGCTACATCTGTCAAAGATGCTTGTGTTAATGTTAGCTATCAACCTAGGTTTTACATAATAGCTAGATTTAGACTAATTACTATTTTGCTATTTTAACTGCAGTAGTGTAGTTAGAGGTACATTTTTGTGTGTGACTTAGAAGGTAGTCTTTATCCTGTATTTCAAATAATGTATAATTGTAAATATTTTTACTTTATCTTCCTATTTATTTATTTTTCTAATAACAGCAAAATGAGGAATGTTTGCAAAGGAGTTTAAGTATTGCTAGATGCTTGTTCAAACAGACACTGAAGAGAATATCATGACGTTGGGTTTTTCAGTCTTTTACTGGGAGTTTGTGGATTTTTTTCATGGATATTTTTAAGATTAAGGGCAGAATGTGAAGGTGAAGAAGCAATTTCAACTGTGAAAATAGGCAGTGAAATGGGAAAAGAAATAATAGAAGCTTTATAGGTGAGATGAGAAAGTCCATATAATTCTAGTAATCTAGGACAGATACCACATGAGTAATATCTCGATAAGCAAGCCTGTTTTCAAGATAACCATTGTTGCAAACAAGCAGAGCTTTACTGCTGTTTACTTGAGGTAGCTTCAGCATAGGCACCACCCTAGCATCCCCTACTCTGTCTGCATTCTCTCCCCAGAAAAACCAGAAAGACTGCTGAGATAAGAGACGTGTCACTCTTCTGATTTCTGGTGGTTATGTGAAGTACTGCAAGATTCAAGTGGTTCTCTGATGTAAAGCTGTGTTTTACTTTACTTTCTCTCCCAGTAGAAATGGTACTTCTGCAATGGGATACCCAAATGAAGCAATTTTTTTCCCTAAGCTGTTCACTGCCAAATTTTTGTAACATGTTTTGTAAAAGTAATTTGTGATTGGTATTGGTAGAATGCTGTTATTAATGATGCCTTCTTTGAGTCTCCCCCTGCAAGCCTTCTAAGTTCATGAAAGAGCCTACTGAAAGCCGATTTGAGATGGTGTCATCCGGTAGAAATCACAGTTCTTACACGTCTTAGAAACAGCAAGCATCTTTTCCCTGTGTAAGAATGTACCCCACTGCATTGCTGCTTGAACAGAGAGATTTGGGGGAATTGTAGGTTCTTGGAGAATGTTAACATTCTTTGCTATTTATGTGAAGATTGGAAAGCAACTCAGTATTCATGAGAACAAGTTGTTTTCTATGGTATTTTAGTTATAGTCTAGTGGGAAGAAGCACAGCATATCCCTGTGAGCAATGAGTGGAAAGTTATAAAGGCCATCTTAAGTATGTTCTCACAGAATTCTACAATCATCTCCAGTTGTTTTCTGCTTGTATCAATCATCTGATTGTTTTGAGAGGAGGTTTATGTAATGCTTCAAAAAGTAGCTTATGTAATACTTCACAGTACTTTTCTCCTGTGTTTTTAGGTATTAAACTCTATATTGATTTTGGTGCAGTATCTATTAGATAGTTATGTAGGCTTGCAGTATTTTTAATGGACAATGAGTTTGAAGTGCAGTACTGTTATCTAAGGTAATCAGGGAATAATTTGTTGCATAAACTACAAGCCCAGGTGTCCAAGAGAATTAGTTCTACAAGAGAAAATGACAAGTATTCATAGAAAAAAATATTCCATCTTAGTTAATACATAGAAACTAGACTAAATATTTTGAAAATGTGGCTTCCATTCCTTGATTGTTTTAATATTGATTTATCTTTACTTTCTGTTTTGTTCTGAGACAGCATCAAAGGAGCAGTTTGCAAAGTCCTTGAAATCAGAACCTGGTGATAAGGATGACTTGGTAATACTGGATGATATCTTCAGTGCTTCCTCCCTGGAAGAGGGAGAATTCAGCAAAGAATGGACAGATGTTTTTGGACAGGATGATCTTGCCATGAACTCTTCAGCTGGAGATGAGGATAACAGTTCAGCTATGGCATTGACTCCATCAGGCTATTTGCCCTCTCAACTATTAGACCAAAATATGAATGACTTGCAGTCATCTTTACATGGTAAGAGCTCATCTTGGTATGTTATCATTTTGTTTTTGCTTTTAAGCTTCAGAGTACGGCTTTCTGCTATTTAGAAGTGTAGTGATGTTGTGCCATAGCTGCAGAAATGCTGAAGTTAAAGTGAAATGTGACCTGGAGAGGAACATGCATTTTTCTTCTAGCCCTGCATTTGGATTTGTGAAGGAATTACTTTAAAGCCTGAAGTCAGAATAATTATCTTGAATATTTTCATTATTATACCTGAAAGGTCTTTGACATGTTTTTTCTGTATTAGAAAATACGTGTGAATGGGTTTTACTGTTTGAATTATGACTGCTGTGTCTGTTTGTTAAGGGGCCAAAGAACCAAAAATGATTACTGTATTTTGTCTGGAAATACTACTTTTAAACAACTTAGTGAAAATCAATTGCATTTATTTTCTGTATCCTACACTGTTGTCAGGTAGGGATATAAGTGAGGTAAGAGTGGAATACCTTTTCCTAGCAGCCGCGCTGGTGAATTTGTGTTGTAGGCTGCACATCTGTCTACTGATACAAATGACCACTCCTTCTCTCCCTGGTGTTCTATGCTATTCTCTTTCTTGAGCTTTTTGAGCAATGGGAAGGGGAAAGGAAGAAGGAGATACTAAAGGAAAGCCTTCCCACTGCTTCTTTGGCCTGAGGGAGGGAGCGTGGTTAATCAGCCAACAACAGCTACCTTTATCCACCCCACTGTCTGTAGCTGCCAGCCCAGATTCTGTGTAGGGTGCTGCAAACTGGAGGAGGATCGTGCTGTTTTGGGCCCTGTCCCAGCAGTCGTTTTCATCTCCTTTGGGGAAGAGTGCTGTAGTAAGACTAGCAGGCTGATTTCATCCTGAAGACTACTTCTTGGAACCTGTGAAACTCATATAATCACATAGGATATGTACTGACCTGTGTCATTTTGGCAAGAATAAGAAAGTCAAAGTTACCTGGTAATTAATTCAGTTACTGTTCCTTCTTCCCAGCACAAGCAAGATACTTGGGTTCATTGACTTCAATATTTAGATGAGAGCTGGGCAAATGACATTTGCAACGCTGTGCAATTTTATGATTAGGTATATGCATATATGAGTATGATTAATAGAGTGAAGAGGAACTGGAACAGTGTAGGAATTGACTACATACAATAGGAACAGAAAAAAAATGAGTCTTAGTCACTGCATTGTCAAATGGAACAGGGACAAAAGGAACAATGAAAAACACCTTTTTTGATGCAAGGGCATACACAGATTTTAAGCAAATGACTAAAAATAGCGATATATGTTACGAGAATTGCTTTTCTTGACTTTTTGCATGTTATATGTATATTAATATGTTCAGACAGCTGAGTATCTGTTTTGTTGTTGTCTCTTCCACTTGCATGAGGCAGTACATTGGTTGTGCAAGTTACGTATGTTGCATTCATGAAACACTAGAAATAGGAAAGTAGTTCTGTCAATGTAATCATAGTAGAATCACACATTAAAAGAGTAAAACAGATTAATGTTTTCAAATTAATTTCCATGATTTTGGGAGAAGATAATGGTAATTGATCTACTGGCATTTGAAAAGCCAGTCAACTCAAATGATCATATCTGATAATCATTGTGTTCCTGGCTGAGTCTAGTAGTCAAGTGAAATGCATTATTTTTACTTTTTATCTGAAGGTGAAATTGTATGCTTTTTATATCTTGTGAAATCTCATTTCTTCTGAAACTGCATTTCACTTCACGGCACTTCTTTCATATAACCTTGTCAGATCTGTGAGCAGTGACTTTTTAGAAAAAAAAAAAAATACTAGCTGCAGTATAAGCATATCTAAACAAAAATATTAGAATATGTGAGTTATGGATATTTTACTAAGGCATTTGGGATACATCTGTGCACTGTGCTATACTTTTTTTTCCCCTAATTGATGGGATTGTTTAATAATTATTCAGTGCGAGGTGCTGCAGCAGAGCCTAGATGTGCATGCTTCCTGTGTGAATTTGGCCTTAAGACCATAAAAATTCTTAAAACTCACATGCTTAACTTTAAGCACGTTAACTTTTCTATTAACTTCAGTGGGATTACTTACTTATTTTATGTTAAGCACGCTCATAAATCTTTGAGGCTTTGTTTTTTCTCTGCCTCAGATCTTAATCTGTAAAACAGGCACAGTGCTATGCAGGTTGTAAACTGTTACGGTCAGGAATTCCCAGCTCCGAGTTCTCTCTGGCTGTATTTATTGACAGGATCTAGCACAATGGGACTCCGAATTGCTAGGGGACTACCAAGTGCTGTTTTAAAATGTCTAAAAATATATATGTGTGTGTGTGTGTGTGTGTGTGTATACACAAATATCAAAAACAAAGTATGATCCCAGTGAATCTTTTATATCCCATTCTAAATACAGCTTTGCCGTTCAGTTGCCATACCACTTTTTCACAGAGAGCACTGGCTTTCTCCTTCATGTTTATGGCCACATTTACTTACCCCACTGAGAATTCCTCTTTGTATCACCTACATATGCACATATTCTAGTCGGTAAGAAAATGTGCAGCTTACTGTTTCCATTTCTAAATTTAATTGTGGTAACTTTGTGAAGAAGCTTGCTGAAGAGCAAGCTGTTTGGTTTCCTTGCTGTCACAGCGATAACCTTCTGTCTAGTCACAGAATGAATTTGCCCTGTGAACAAGGCAAGCTAAAACAAGCGTGGGGCCAGCAAATGCTGTCACACTGATACAGACTGCAGTTTGGTTGTGAAAGGCACATGCTTTGTTCTCTGCAGCTCACCGTGAGTGGGTGGTAAAAACAAAATTCATGAAAGTATTTCATAAAAATGCTGTGGCAATCTTTCCCAAAGCCTTCATGGATCCAGAATTTCATAATGCAAGCATTGTCTATTTTACAGAACATTTTTGATTGGATTTTTTTATGGTTAGGTTTCTTTTGCTTTCAAAGTGATGCTTGAGCTGCCTGTGCTGTAATGAAGAGACCCAGAGCACAGCACCATGTGGGCTCACTAGCTCTCAGCTCAGAGAGTCAAACGGAGGGGTCCAAGCAGCTGGGTGCCTCACAGTGTTCCACTCTGTGCTCCAACATTTGCAGTGATGCATGATCATATTGGTTTCTTCCTGAGCTCACTGAAGGCAGTGGAACTTGCACAGAAACTTTCCAGGCAGCACTGCCCATTCATTGCTCTGAAATTAGGATTTGGCCCCATTCTTTGGAGCTCTCATTTTATCCACTGCCATCCATGACATGCAAAGCACTTTCCTGCAATACATACGCGTGCAAATGAAAGCATTATGAAATGCTTTCAAATGAAAGTTTTCTGTAGTTGTGTCCTCTGCCATTCTTCTCTTTTGTAATACAAGCAGAGAAAATATATGAAAAAGTATGTCACTCTGAAGTGTTAATGCCTTATTTTTTTTTAAATTTGAAAGATTAAACTCTTAAGATCACATTTTCAGGAGGTATAAGCTGGCCTGTAAGCCTTTGTTGCCTTTGCCTAGAACAAACGTATGTGAGCCTTCTGCACCCAGATTTTCAGGAAGTTTTAAGTTTCTCAGAGATACAGAGGATGTTTGTGGCTTAAAATTCCCTTTCTGATCTATGTGATTTTTATAGAAACACTCTTCTTGCTTCCTTTTAATAACACAGCATGGGCCTTGAGTCCTTTATAGTCAACGCCAGGTCGGAGTGATGAGAATAAGCTGTTAGAGGAAGGAAGGATTTCTGTAACATAATGGCTGTTGCAGCAGCTTTTGGTATGTGACAGTGGTCTCAAAAGTGAAGAAAGTAAGGGGAGGAAGGAAGACGAGAACAGATAAAGGATGTGAGAGTGTGAACTTGTAGAAAAAGAGGCTGAAAAAGGAAATACTAGCCATGTGTACAGATGAATATCTTGTTTCAGATACTGAAGAATTAGATATAAGAGTTCCTTGAGGTGGATGGATAATTGACCAAGGCAACACTTAAAGGAGGTGGCATTGAAATAAGAAATAGAAGCAAGCTAATTACATCTGTATTCTAATCCTGGTATTAGAAATATGACCTCCGGTCCTCTAAATGTGATAAAGCATAAGAATTTAAATACCTTAAACCACGGACCATTTTTCCTATGTTTCTGTAGTATGCTGTCCCTAATTCATTTTGCCAGCCTGGCTCATCCAGCTTCAATAACTGTAGTTGTCATTATTATCTTGAGGTTATGAAATGTGCACATAGGAACAATAAATTGTGAATACCCAGTTTCACTTCTTTCCATATAGTTGCTCTCTCCCTGGTGAGAAGATCCTTACCATGAAGGATAACTAAAATACACTCAATTAAAACCCAGCTTTAAGTTAGCTGCAAGTAGTTCATCTAGAATTTAATTCTTCAGTGTTTGGCAACAAATGATTTCTTTTTTCAGAATTAATGATTTCATAATTCATTAAATAACTCAGGGTCACAGAATGCATTTGTTTCTGGAACAGTTGATGAAGTAAATGTTTGGAACTGTAAAAGTAAAGGAAGATGTTAAAAAAAAAAAAAAATTTTGCCCATGTGTAGCTGATATTCCTCATTCTACAGTTGTGGCATACTTAATACTGGCTTATTAAGTGTGATTGAATTAAAGATACAAAAAAAACCACCTATCTTTCTTTAGCTAGGTTAAAGGTGTGAAAAGTGCACAATTCCTTGAATCTGGAGATGAAGAAACTGATCCACAGATGCTCTGTTCTTAAGGGTGTTGTTTGTCTGCAGTATCTTCCTGCTGATTTCTCATGTACGAGGAAAGATAGAGAAGGCCGTAACCAAAACAGCACTGTGCTCCATCACCTAGTGTGAGCACTGTGCTGCTAGAGAGCGAAGTCTTAGTGCTGACAAGGTAATTCTTACCACTAATGCTGCTATACTATTGAATTTTAGGGTGGGCAGCTAACAGTGGGAGCCCCCTGTCTATACCACAGCCAGCACAGAAACCAAACAGCCTGAATGTGAACGCTAACAAGACGCCAGTGAAAGGTGGTAAGTCATTTAGTTTTGAGATAATTTGCTTTTCCTCTTTAACTGTGACTTACATCTTGCTAGTTTTCTCACCTCATCTACCACAATAAAGCCTGTTTTTATAGCATTTACACATCAAGAGTTTTGTTGCTACTGCTTTGCTCTCTCAATGTTGATTATATGTATAGTGTTTGTGCGTATGTTTTGTTTGTAGGCTTCAGTGCTGGTATGTCAGAAGAATAATGTACTGAGTAACAAGTGAGCTCACACTACAGTTTGTTCTGCTACTTCAATTTTGAGTTATATGGAAAAGCATCTGCATGCACTAGCGTAAGCTAAAGAGTGTTCTGAGGCTCTAGGCTATAATGCAGGCTACTGATAAGACAGAAGAGCCATTATCATAAATTTCACTGATAACATGCATCATATCAGTAGTTGTCTGTATGAAACAATTCGCTTGTGGCGAAGAGTATAGTCCTGCTATCTACTGAGACAAAGCCCTGCTGATATTGACTAGGGTTTTTTTTGATAGGGGAACCAGGAATGCATTGCATCCTTATTCTAGTTAGCAGTCTATTTTGTGCATTCATTTTCAAGCAGAAGTTGTTTCAGATATGGTCAGTGCAGAAGGAAGGAGCACTGTGTATTCCTTCCCCTGCCTCCCAGGATTAAACTAATGACTGCTTTTAGCCTAGCAGAAAAAGACAGTTAAGATGTTTTGGGAACTGGTTGGGAGATGAATAAGATGTCTCAGCTGCAATACCTTCACCAGAAATACGAAGAGCATTCGGCTACTCTAAAATCTGTGTCTGTGAAAGTGACAGGTTCTCTAGCCTCACAGACATGAAGATGGAATTAATGCCAAGCAGAGCATATTTTACCCATAAATTCCTTATTTCACAAAGAATGCTTTCATTTAGTGTACAACATTATTCTTCTGAGTAGAAGAGTACATCTTATTTTGTACATTTTTTTAATACCAACCAAAAAATCTACCCTTATACTAGAAGCTGTACTTGAGACATGATTTATGATATTGTGTGGGGAATTCAGTCCTGTAAGACTGAAGGTTGAAAGTAGAGTTTGCTTCCACTTAGCTTTTGCTTTTTTGCAGGCATGCAGATGTATACACAAGTAGACTCACACACACAGGTACATGTCTCTGACACTGGACTCAGGTGAAATTCATCAGCTTCAACAAATTCAAATGCAAGGTCTTGCTCCTGGGTTGTGGCAACCCCCACTATCAGTGCAATCTGGAGGATGTTAAGGATAGAGCACAGCCCTGCTGAGAAGGACTTAGGGGTACTGGTGGAGGGGAAGCTGGGCATGAGTCAGCAGTGTGCCTTCACAGCCCAGAAACCCAACTATATCCTGGGCTGTATTAAAAGAAGTGTTGGCCAGCAGCGTGAGGAAGGCGTTCCTGTTCCTCTGCTCTGCACTGGTGAGGCATCACCTGGTGTTCTGTGTCCAGATATGGAGCCCTCAATACAGGAGAGACACTAACCTGTTGGAGTGTGTCCACAAGAATGATCCCAGGGATGAAACACCTCTCCTACGAGGACAGGCTGAAAGAGCTGGGGCTGCTCAGCCTGGAGAAAAGAAGGCTTCAGGAAGACCTGATAGTGGCCTTTCAGTATCTTCTGGAGGGCTTTGAAAGGAAAGAGAACAGACTTTTTAGCAGGATTTGTTGTGACAGGACAAGAAGTGGTTTCAAACTAAAGAAGGGGAGATTTAGATTAGATATAAGGAAGAAGTATTTTTTTTTTTTTCCTATATGTGTGGTGAGGCACTGGCATGGATTTCCCAGAGAGGTGGTGGATACCCAAATCCTTGGAGACATTCATGGTGAGGCTGGACCAGGGTCTGAGTGACCTTGTCTTGCAGTAGCTGTCCCTTTTCATTGCAGGGGAGTTGGACTAGATGACCAGTAAAGTTCCCTTCCAACTCAAAGGATTCTATGATTCTATGGAAATACCTTTCACTAAAGCTTGACAGAGACTATTTGTAATTGAAATGTTCTGTACTTATCATGGCAGGAGGTGTATAAAGTGCACAGGCAGACAGATGTAAAACATTTGTTCTTAACTAAGTTCCACATTCTTTTAAAGGTGATGTTTTAAAATGCAATCACTCATTCTGATTTTCTTGTCAGAAGTGCCCTTAGTAATAAGTGAAACAACAGCATTTGTTTGACCTCAGCCAAACTTTCAGTCAGTTTTGTTTTGAAATAGCTGACGAGGAAGAACTCCAAGTTTGTACTTTTATTTATTTATTCATTTTTCCCCAGAACCTACAAGGAATCCTAAAGACCGGACTGCCTGGTTCAGTATCTTTGCTGACCTTGACCCGTTATCCAATCCTGATGCTGTTGGGAAAACTGATAAAGAACATGAATTGCTTAATGCATGAGTCAGCTGCCCATGGTAACGCACATTCTTCCATTCATCAACACTGTTTTTGGGTTTTAAAAAAAAAAACTAATTAAAATTAGTATGTTGTTGTGAAACTTTAAAGTATGTGCCATGATAACAAAACAAAATCCTCTTTTATATAGCTACAGTTACTTGCTCTTGTTTTGTATAAAGAGTTTGCATTTATTTTCTACATGGATTTACAAAAATGAGTTTTAGAATTAGGGCAGATTTCTTGCCAAATTAGATTATCTATCTGCTGAAAACACTGTCTTTGCCTGAGGTGATGCAGAGCTAACACTGGAACAAAATACAAATTGCAAACTTATTTTTTTATAATGTTTATTGAGTAAATTAAAGAAAAATAATGTAAGTGAGGAGGCTGCATGAGTCAAACATCTATTGCATATAATATATATATATAACTGCTACATTTGGGTGTCAACTAAATTTGTTTTATTAGTACTCACAATGAAAAATCTGTGCTGGAGCTAATTATTGAAGAAATACATCTGGGTCTATGCAGCCATGGAAATTGTGCCCTTTCTGATTTAAATTCTTAGACAAACTGTACTACCAAAATGGCCAGAAGTCTTCTTTTCTGACTTTTTTTTTCCATTGCACCAACAGAATTTGCACCTGTTTGCAGAAGTTTCTTGCAACTGATGATTTACCATGCCTTCAAAACATTCATATTTCTGTTCAGAGTATTTTTCATCAAATTTATTTCTGAAGCATGTGTTACTTTGAGCTTGTTGTGACGCTAACTCTTTAATAAAATGATTTTCACAAGAAAGTCCTTTTATTCCCATTGTTGGTTGAGATGGTGGAGTGCTGTTGAGTTGGTACGTAACAAGCATCCGAAGGTAACAGATGGCCAGTTTTTAGGCAGTACTTAATGATTACCAGTACCAGTACCTCACGTTGTTTTGCAATAGTACTGCAGTAGGATAATAAGAGAATGTGAATTTACTTGGTGTCTCTTTCTCTCCCGACCCTCCCTTTATAGCAATGGAAGGTATAAAAGATGTGTCAGCAGTTGCTTAATATTGCAAGTTATGCATGCTTGCTATGTGTACTGTATTGGGCTTGCTTTGCAATTTATTATGTTTGGCCTTTTAAAATTCAGCTGATTTTCACCTGCTCACAGCTGTATGCTCAGTTAGTTAATCCTTGCCTTGGGGTCTGTTAGATAACTAAGTACCTGCACTGTGCAACTCAAGGTGACTGTGTAATACAGAAGTTAACTGAGCCGTGCTGCTCCTCAAGCACAGTAGAACATGATCTGATGGCTGCACTGGGCAACATGAATGTGTATTTAGCTAAAAAGCTATGTGGTACTGGTGAGCAGGTATGACTGGAATCCAGCTGGCTGAACCCTCATCAAGTTTTGAGCACCTGCATACAAATTTATAATGTTCAAAATGCTGCTTAAGGTGCCACATAGCTGTGAAGTCCAAAAACGGAAGATATTTTTGTTTTTGCCATTTATGCTCTTTATGTGTATTTTCATGTTTAGTGGATAGCCTGATCTTCTCTTTAGGGAGTACCCAGCACTGGGTGGGGCCATTCTGTTGTGCTGTCAGTAGGACACAGAAGCTCATGGAGGCATGGATACCTGTTTGTGAAGGTCAGTGTTTCCTGCTGTTTGGTAATGGCTCCTTGCTCAGTAAGTTGTCACCTGTGAAGTCTCTCCTGAGATGTGTAACTTCCTGGGGCATTGCAGGGGAGCAGCCTGAGGTCCTGACTTTGAGTGCAGTCTGTGGCAGTAAGGAAGGCATCTGCAAAGATTATATTTGTCTTGATACTTGTTAGAATACTTATGGACCATCTATTCTAGCTAATGGGTAAAGCAGTTCTGGTTAAAGCAAAGGTGAGGCTAAAACAGCTCATTTACTGTACTTTGAGTTAGAAAGAAATAAGACTCAAAAAATTCTTGTGTTTGGGTTTTTTTGGTCACAGATTGTAGACTTCCAGGATGCTTAAAACAAACAAACAAAACGCTCCCATCTTGATTGGGAAAATTGAGGACATGGCACAGGTTCAGCTGTAAGTGTTCTGAATCTTCGTCATGTTTTAAATCATAGTTTTTATGTGACAGAATCCACAACTGCAGGTTTTTCCCCTAAAACTGCAATACTGATCAGTTCATGCTATGAATTCCTGTATCATATTTTTTTAAAATTAGTCAGCTTTGAATTTTTAGCTTTCTGCTTGTGCCATTTTTCACACTTTTAAATGGAAGAAGCCAGAGGTGTTTAATACAGAGGTAATTTTGCTTAAAGAAAAGCAGTCGAAACCCCTCTGTACAGTGTGTTATTGTGACCTTTTCATTTAAGAAAATAGGAGCAGACAAACGAAAGGCATTTTTTGGTGGCAGAAATCTGAATTGCAGAGGTGGAAGCAATACTTCACTGATCATAATGCGTATGGGATATGCTTGTCTACAGCCTGGGTTACAGAGCAACTGCATGCCACAGTGCCATTGTTGGAGGATTTTCTATGATGTGTGTACAGGCTCAGCAGTAATTGGGACATCAGGGTAGCAAAGCATTGTGGCAAAATTGTGCATTGATTGTTCTACACACAGAATGCTCATCTTGATTTAATATGCTTCATTCCAAATGCATATACTTGTTTTGTAGCCGATTGTCTTAAAATAAAAACAGCTGCAGAACCCCCCTGTGGTGGATGAAAACAGTGGTAATTGATTAACTGTCTTCATCAGGAAGTTTATTAAAGTTGATGTAGTGGATTTTGATGAGTCTGGGTTTTTACAAATCCAAGAGCAGCTATTTCTGGGGGGTTGGAGTGTGCACCTTGGAAGATTGAATAGCTTGTGGAGAGAACTAACATGGAACTTTTTATGACCTCCACAAGTGACCAGAATTCAATTCCAGCATCATAGAATACAATGCAGCTTGTTCCCTTCTGTTCTTTCCACATGCAGATCTCAAAGAGGGGAGTTGTAGGTTAGATATAATGAAAAAATCTTTTACAGTGAGGTGATGAGGCACTGGAACAGGTTCCTGGATAAGGCCCAGGGCAACCTGACCTAGCAGTGGTATCCCTGCTCATTGCAGGGGTGTTGGACTAGATGGCCTTCAGAGGTCCCTTCCAACTCTAAGGATTATGTGAGTCTATAAATTGATGTACTTTGATGCGTGGAAGTTGGACAAACTGGTCTTGACAGCTCCAAGATGCAGGAGGTTGCTATGAAGACCCAGGCACTGTGTCACGTCAGACTTCAGTTTTCTCAGGGCATTCTGGAATCTGCCATTGTATGCCACCATTGGAGATCCTGGGTGAGCACCAGTGACAAATGCTCCTGGTTGTTCCATTCTTGGCTGCAGTTTTTCCAATGAATGTGGGGTGAGTTAGTCCTAAGGCAGAGGAGGAAGACCTGGAGGGTCCTGCCTACTCTCTGCAGACCTTGGAGTGGTAAAGGCATATGTGAGGGTCCCCTTTTTCCAGCTCCCTTCCTCTTCTGTCCAGCAAGCAGCAGCCAGGGAGGCACAGTAGAGGTGCTAAGGAGGAGCTGGGTGGTCAGGGAAGCCCTGTGTGCTGGGCAGCCTGCAGTGCTGCTCACTTAGCTCACAGGTGAGGGCAGGTTGAAGAGCTGGACCTCACAGTAACCTGTGACACAGTAATCCAGGGGCCTTGTGCAGTTCTAGTCTTTCCTGGGTGATAAGTAATATGAAGTTGAGCCCCCCCTATAAGCTTGGTACACTGGCTCACCTAGGATTTGCTGTACCCACACTCCAGTTGGCCTACTTCTACAGTTTAAGCTCTTTGTTAATGCCTTATTTTTAAATAAGCCACCATAGGGGAAGGCAGGAAGCAGAGCAACAGCGTGGCCCTAGAACAAAGGGTCCTCAAGTAACAGGAATTCTCATTTTCTGCTACCTGCCTGAGTTTAATTGCTGGCCCTGTGACTGCAGCAGCATTAACACGTTCCAAGTATGACCCAGGTACCTTTATGGCAACTGAGGTGCACAGCAGACAAGGACAGCATATTTTGCCTTTGGTAACCATCAGCCCTCCAGCACCAGGGCAACCTGGCTGTGCTGTCAGTCACTGTTCTACCTGAGTGTTTTATTAACAATGTTCTCCTAAACGTTACCCTGACATTTCCCCTTATTCACTAATTATAAACCAGTCTAATGTTCCTGTTCAGTAGAACAAGGAGGCTACCATTTCCCTGTAGCCACATACAACTCCCAGAAGTGAAGATAAGGCTCATTCTATCTGACCCCTGTTTACTTTAAGTTGCACTGAAATCTTTATGGGGGTAAACAACACTCCACCCAGATGCATCAGAGGTAATGAAATAGCTGCCAGCCAACCTCAGCCATTGGGTACAGTAACTGAGCTCAGTCTCCCTTCTTTTATAAGCAAAACTCCCCAGAGACCTGCCCTGTAGGGTGTTGCTTTCAATTTGGACTTCCTCAGCTATTGATGCAGTAGGAAGGGCCCCAGTACAAGTGCTGGAAGCCATATGCCTCATGAACAGGCTGGAAATAATATGCTGCACAATGAAATCACCCGCTTTGTCTCTACCTATGTCAGCAGATAACAGCTGGCTGAGGAAAACAAGAACATTGAACATAGCAGGATCCAGCAAATTAAAAAAAAAAAAACAAAAACCAAAAACCAATAACCCTACTATTATTCCAAGTGCAATCCTCATTATAAATCTTTGACACACAAAATACAGAAATTAAATTAATTGGTCACTGAAGTAACTGCTTTGCTGTTATAACTGCTGAGGCAGCCTGCACTCAAGCTTCAAATACAGAGGTGGCCTCACCTATCTAAATTGGGCAGGGTTTGATTCCCAAATGCCTTCTATACTGCTAAGTCTCAGTACCCTGCCCAAGGTACAGGTCCAGAGTCATCCCAGCACTTAATCTAAATGCAGGCCACCACCCTCCCACCACCCACACCATGGTGTACAGCAGACACTTGCCTAGCTGTTAAAGAAGAGCTTGTAATGGCTCTGATCACACAGAAAAGGTCACACACACAAAAAAAGTGGAGAGATGTTTGAGCCAGAGCACCAGAGCCAGCATGGCAGGGAGGAGCAGCAGCAGTGACACCACAGCCTTCAGACGGGGCCTGTGGTCACCTCTACTCATCTCCAAAGCACAGGCGAGCAAAGCCTACCTGTGAGATTGTGCAGCCATTACTGCTCTTCATGCAGGGAAATAACGATCACGAAAATCCTTAGATGAACATCTTCCCATCGCCCCCCCTTCCCTTGTCATTCCCACGCAGCGCACTTCATGGCTTTTGCTTTCATTTTGAAGAGGTGGGATGTGATCTGCATACACTGGCTTTGCTGACCTTTACGGCTTCTCAGTGTCAGTGCTGCACTTTGAAGCCTGGAGGGACCTCAGAGTATCCACCAGTCCTGCAGTTCACTGTTTAAGCAGTGGGAACTTTGCCAAAACAAAGTAAAAGGGAAACAGGATTAAACAGTAAACAGAGACGTTCAGGAAGAAAGGCTGCACTGCCTGCCTCAAATCTACCCCCTCCCCCCCACTGCCTCCCATGTTAACAGCCCACGCTGTTAGCAAACATTAAATGCAATCAGAAAACTCAAGAAATGCACAACAAGTCCTTTTTCTATCAGATTTCAGGAGCAGATTGAGCTGCCTGTCCAGGGGCTGCTTTTAATGAACAGTACATCTTGCCTGAAAGTGCTTTGGGTTCCCCCTCTGCTCACTCTGAACACACGGAGTATCTAATAGAGGGCTTAATTGAAGTTGATGTACATTGTGTTGTACTGTTTGATAGTTGTTATCCAAGTGAAAAAGGGAAAGTGTTTTAAGATACAGGAAAGTGCTTTTATGGCCCTAAAATAAGTCATCCTGCTGTGCAGCAATGCCAGACCAGAACATGTTCCTTTGGGAGCGCTGCCAAAACAAAGCAAGTTCATTTCCACAGGGGACACATAACCCACAACAACTGGAAGAAGCCTCATCTTCTCAGGGGGGATTTGAATCACCCTAAAATCTGCTGCAGTCAGCCCAGCAGGGCACACTCCCAGAGTGCACTGATAACTATGTGATGCAGTCAGTCAAGGAGCTGATGCTCAGCAGGGCCTCATACCTACAAATGAGGGAGAACTGGTTGAGAACATGGAAACTGAAGTCACCATGAGGCAGAGAAGTGTAGGAAAGAAAAAAGAAAAAAGCCTTTGCCCTCTTCAGGCACCTGCTTAGAACAACAACCTGCAATACGGCCCTGGAAGAGTCCAGGAACGCAGGCTGTTTCTCAAAGATCACCTCCTCTCAGCTCAATGATTGTCCAGCCCAGCAAGCAGGAAATCAAGGCATGATGGCAGGAGACATGCATGGTCGAACAAACTGAAACAAAAAATGGAAACAGCAGCAGGTGACCCTGTTCAACTTGGAGAATAGAAGGCTCAGTGGGATCTTATCCACTGGATATGTGGATATCCACTGTGGGATATTATCCACTGGAATGTGGATAAATTTCTCAAGGGAGGGAGGGAGCAGGGTGCCAAAAACATGGAGCATGACTTTTCTCAGTGGTGCCCATTAACAGAAGAGGTAGTGGGCACAAAGTGAAATGCAGGGAATTCCATTTAAACATAAGAAATTCATCCTTTGAGTGTGGTCAAACACCAGAATATGTTGTATGGAAAGATGGAGTTTGAATCCCTGCAGAGACTCCAAACCCAACTAGAGATGGCCTGAATGAGGCACACACACTAAAATGCTCAGTATTTTTCAGAGCTTTCTCAGGAGGTGCAATAAGTTATAGCCAATCCAAAGGAACCACCAAAACAGAGTCAGGCATTTGTTTCTCTGCTTCCTAAAAGCAAGACTTCGTTTCCAAAAGCAACACCCTTCCTTCATTTTTCACAAGAGCAAGTTCTTCCTTCCCTATGTAACAAGCCCAACCATCTCAGCAATTGTATGGAAAGGGAGCTGTTCCTCCCCAAGAAACTTCTGCATCATAAAGACAGGGTGAGAAATTCTTATCCAAACAAAAATCTGAAAGGAGTAATTGCATCGCCCATCATCTCAGCACCAAACCTTAACGAGGGGTCTACTTCTCTTAGCTTTGTCGTCTTTGAAGAAAGAACCTGCTTCCACCAAAATCCCATAGCATCCCTGAGCAAACACAACTTCCTTGCCAGCAGCTGTACAAATCACTGCAAAGTTTAACTGCACACCTCACATAATGTATACACCAGAAGAAAAACAAAAACCACAATCAGGCCATATTTTTCTGCAGGCACGGTTATTAGAACAATCGTGCTTTGTTAACAGGCTTAGTCTGATCCAGGGAGGAATAAAAGATGACCAAACTTCCTGTTCTCCCAGGTTGTCAGCTCTTTTGCTGCTGAGCTTCCAGGCTACAGCTCAAGGCAGCCAATTTAACATCAGAACTTGTTACAACCTGAGATAAAATTACGAGGTCTTAGAAAGGGAATGATGTCTCTATCCAGCTCGATCCGATTGCTTGCTGTTGATCTGACTGCTCTTGTTATCAATTTATCAGTTTTATTTGCATATTTGCACACTTACATTGGAGGCCTTTGTTTGGAAATGATCTTTGTTCACAATCAGCCTTTTTCTGTCTGCCCTAATTGAGCGACGTGTATTTTTGTGACCCACTGCACTCTGAAAAGGCGGCGCCCACTCACCAGTTTCTTGCCATCCGCCCAAAATTACAGCTCTATGGAGGAGCTGACAGAAAGGAAAACAGCTCTAAACGTAATCAACCACCTCCGCAGTGCCAGAGGCTTCACTCCATTGTCGTGCAAACAAAAAACCTTCAGGAGCCAGAAATTATCTTCCCAGATCATTTTAAAAAAGCAATAATTCCCCCATTTATAAATATTTCAGGGCATCATTTTTCCAGCAACATATAAGAATGTTTCAAGTAGTTGAAAAATACCCCTTTAAAGTCTTTAAAGGTCAAAAGCCCATCATAGCCATTGTGTTTGTCTTCTGTAATCTACACAGTAGTAACATTTCAACTCTATAGAACCAATTTTTCTTTGAGCACATTCTTGGTAAGATCATCTCATTAAACACACCATCTTTGGAAACCCACCTTTGTGAGATGGCCCCGTGCCCAACTGCTGACATATCCACGCTTCTCCTTTGAATTTAACCAGCTTCATTTTCAATCCCTAGTAGTATTCCACATCTGTTGAATTTGAGTAGCTCATTACCAATCGTTTCCTGTGCAGGTATTTACCAACTGGAGTTAAATCATTCTTGATCTGTTCAGGATGGAACCAAAACATTGCTGTGTTTTTTCCAGTTCTTCACTCACTCCTATAGCCCTTCCCGGAACCTCCAAGCTTCTATAGTCTCCTGAACTGCTTTCCCTGGAGCAATTACACTAATGCAAACAGAGAGATGTACATATTTTAACTGCATGACGATCTTTGATCGCACAGCTTCCTTTAGCCAAGCACTGCATTAGGAAGGGCCGTACGTGTGCAGCCCATTAACAAACATACTTTCCCAGCTTCAATCACTTTTTCCTTGTGTTTATGTTCTGGAAGCACACGGCCGGAACTACGGTTATTTCCTCCCAATTGTGTAGCTTCAAATTTCTGTTTGCAGTGCTGTGTTTTGCAAAGTAAGCCAGACTATTTTACAACAGCCATTGATTTATACTTCTACAAGCCGCCCTTCCTCTCCAGGTTGTTGGATTTTACCTCAAGTAACCCATCCACATACCTACCCACTCTAGCACACTGATACCAGGAGCTCGTCTGCGAACCCTCGGTGGTCTTCGCAACTGCAGTGTCAGCCAGCATCTCTAATTCATTCCATTCCTTATGTTTACTTTATATTATCTCAGGCTGTGGTTAAATATTGAAGATACTGAGGCTCTCGAGGGCAGCTATCTGGCCCTCCCCAAGAGCTCATCTGTCAGGAAGCCATAAATCATTGCACTGACAGCACCCTGCTTCCTAAAACAAGCAGGTCGCTATCTGCTGCCCCTACCCAGCATACATAGGATTTACTCCTCCACAGCCTCTGAAGGGTCCGCTTCCAGAGCCACAACCTGTCTGGAACTATAACATTGACATCAAATGAATGGGGACACAAGGCAAAATTATTTCATTACCACTCTATCCTCAGCACTTTTTTTTTTGACTGCTTGTCATCATGGCTTTGAGGAGGACATGCACAGTTAATTACAAAGCTGCACCAGAACCTATGGAGGTGAGGGACTGCAGTCCCCGGGATGGTGAAGAATCACAGAATTGTAGGGGTTGGAAGGGACCTCCAGAGATCATCGAGTCCAACCCCCGAAGTTACCCATGGTTCAAGTTGTGCCACATCTCTGCAGGGTGAGCTGCACGCTTTTGTCAAAGCAGTTCTCAAGGAGATGATGTCCTTTCCCACCAGGACAAGCTGAAGCCACTGCAGCCAAACCACCCAGAGGGCAGGATGGCCAGAGTTTTTTCCTAGTCAGCCATATGAACTTACAATAAAACAGAAATGAAGCCTTTTCTGACTGATGCACACCAGCCATTCCCACAGCAGGGCAGGACACTGCAGCCTTTGCAGCTCCAGACTTCCAGCACTGCAGTTTCAAGATTTTCACACAGTCACATGGAAACCTTGCAATCTTTGGGATGTCAAAAACCCAGATTTCCACTTCACGACAATAAGCACTGAACCATTCTTATGGGTTATTGCCATAGTGCTTCTCAGTAAACACCGACTGCAGAGGATTTACATGTATTTAAACATGTATTCAAATATTATTCTTTCTTCCTCCCCCCTTCCCTCTCCCCATGTGGAAAGAATTATTTTGCAAGGCAAATGACAACCATTTGACTCACACAAAACAACACGAAACCAAGACTGTCAGTAGATTTATACCACATCCTTCAGGGTTTTCGTTTAGTTTCACATAGTGAAACATCTCATGGCTTTCATAATTTTCAACAGATAACTTGAAATTGGCCATACCACAAACACAGCAGTGGAGTTTCCAATAATGCTTAACTGATTATTTTTTTTTTCTGTGCTCTGAAGAAATAAAGACCTCACCACATGCAACAATAAAATACGCTATTTTTCATGTATTTGACCATTTTTTAGATATTTTTCCTCCTCAAAGCAGCGTGTTACGCAAAAATCAATGTGCAAGATGATGTAGCAGACTAATCACAGAGAGATGTGGTTGACATGAGCCTGGATGTATTTCTGGAACAATATTAAACATTAATCTCATTCTATGAGGTCACAGTTTCCCAAACAAATAAATGGACCGCCGCTTTTGTGTGTCCTCGCCACCTTCTTTTTTTTTTTAAACTATAATTTTTATTTAAATAAGACACAGGAACTTCTATACCGAAAAAATACAAAACAAAAGCCACACATTTCCTTGTGTAAAGCAATATTGTGTGATAATTTGAATACTGTTCAGCACAGTGGCTAGAAATAACAGTACAACTATGTACAAAACTTTAAACAATATTTGACAAATTTCTACAGCTGGATGTAGAATACAATAGAGATAAACAACTGCTGGGAAATTTACATGGCAAAGCATTAGCTTTAATGCATTTGGTTCAAAACCTTCAAATCTGCTAAGAACGAATGTGCAATTCAATTAATATTTAGTTTCTCATGGAAAAAAAAAAATAAAAGTACACAATGGCATTGCAGTTATTGTACAGAGTTCACCACTGATCTAAAAACAACTCATCGTATCCCCCGGTAATCTCACACCAACAACCGAGACTATGATTTCTTATCTGGACATAACAGAGCAAAAAAAGGTCATCATACTGCAATGTTAATCTAGAAGGAAAAATATCAAAAGGAATCGATACTTACATCGTGAGTATTTCCTCCCCTTTATCTTCAATCTATAAAATATATAGTGTTTTCACCTAGGCCTGAGATTAGTAGGGTTAAAGATGGCTGTTGTGTTTCAAGCAGGTTTTTCACGTGAAAATGGTTAGAGACAGACCTCCTCATGTTTTCTGCAGGGGAGCCAAAAACCAGTTACTGTTTTATAGGCTGCAAATTCCACCTTGTAAGGCAGTATTAACAAAACCTCGGTAATAAAAAGAAACCACGCTTTATCTCCAAAGCAAGCATGTACTTAGTGAGCAGTTATTGGTTGTTCACTCTCACCCCCCTCCATTCTCATCTCCAAAAGTGGGAAAGAAATAAAAGAATAATGGAGCAAATTTAAATGCTCGGTAGCTGCAGGCTACTAATCTCTTCAATTCCTGGAAAAGGTGAGCTTTATTCTCTTAGGAGCAGACAGCATAAATGTAATTCCACTGAGCTG